GGCTGTGTCCTGGGGTGACACCACACACAGTGGGCTGTGTCCTCCCACATTAGTCAGTAAACAAGAAAATGCCCTCACAGCCTTATCCACGGGCAAATCTGATGCAAGTATTTTTGTAGTTGAGGTTTCCTCTTCCCAGATGAGTCTAGCTAGGGTCAAGTTGACTAAAACAAATATCCCCCTACCCCACAAAAAAAAAAAAAAAGGGCTAGTCACTGGGTGTATCAATCACACTCCAGGGCAAGCCAACGTAGTTGGCCAAAACAAGACACTCTGGGGGGTTCGTGCACTTTTCGTTTTATATTATTAATTTTATTTTATTTTTGTCTGTTTTGATTTTTTTTGTCTTTTGTTGTTGTTTTTCTTCTCTTTTTAAGAAACAGAGAAAGAACATGAAGTTGATTGGGTTGGAAGGGGAAAGAATATGCTCAGAATATGTTTAAAATGTAATAAACATAAAAAAATAATTATGCAGCACGGCCTCCATGTCCAGCTCCCTGGACCCCATCTGCCCTGAGAGCAGGCTGGGCCTGGCAATTTCCTTCTAAGAAACAGAATATAGCAGAGAGTGATGAATGTCACCTCTAACGTCACAGCCCAGAGCCTGGCTTCTGTCTTGCTCCTGCACGCAGACCCTCACACTTGCTTACAATGATTGAAGCAAGCTGCTGTCTCCTGAGTGACTCTCTAAAGAGGATCAAGTAGCAACAGCTAACAAGAAACTGAGGCCCTTGGCCTAATAATAATCTATGAAGAGCAGAATTCTGTAAACAGTTCCACGAATGAATGAGTGAACCTGACACTTGACAACACATCCCACCCAGGCACCTGGGGGCCCACTGTACAGTGTCCTTGGGAGCCCTTGGAAGCCTGTACCAGGCTAAGCCACTCCCAACACCCAATACCCCCCACAAACACACACACAGAGGAACAAAGAGATAATGACGGTGTGCTGTCTTAAACTGCTAATGTTGTTTTAAGCCACTAAATTTCATTTAAGCTCTCTGGAGGTTTAGATGATATCCATAGAGGGATTAGCTCCAGAACCAGTAAAAACTGCTTGAAAGATAATGGGTAAAACTAAATTAGGACAGAGCATGGTGGCACAGGAATTTAATCCCAACACTGGGGAGACCTTTGGGAAGTTTAAGGCTAGCCTGATCTTCTACATAGTGAGTGTTCCAGGCCACACAATGCTGTGAAACTCTGTCTTAAAAAAAAAGGTGGGGGGAGGAGGAGGAGATAGGACATTACAATGTCTCATTCAAGGTCTACATTCTTTCCCCTAGGTGATTTGTCGTGTAGCAACAGGTAACTTAACAGCCTTCAGTATTTAACACTATGTCTGGTCCTAAAGATACAAAGATAAAAATGATGGCTTCCTAGCCTTCAGGGGATGCTTGGTCTGGAGGGCTAAATTGGGTGTGTGCACTGTTGGTCTGCTGGCTGAACAGGCTTACCCAGCACCATGGGGTCAAGCAAACTTGTTGGAATGTGTGGCTTAGGTCTAGATGTGGGAAGATGAGGGGCTGGAGAGATGGCTTTTTTTTTCTTTTTAAAGATTTATTTATTGTATTCATGTGAGTGCACTGTCGATGTCTCAGACACACTAGAAGAGGGCATCCTGTTACAGATGGTTGTGAGCCACCATGTGATTGCTGGAAATTAAACTCAGGACCTCTGGAAGAGCAGTCAGTGCTCTTAACCACTGTGCCATCTCTCCAGCCCCTGGGATCCTGTTTCAATCAAACAAATAATAAAACAAAACCTGGAAATATGGGGCAAGAGAGTTACTAGGGGTTAAAAGAACTTGCTGTTAACTAACACCAACACGGTTGCTCATAGTGGTCTGTAACTCCAATTCCAGAGGGTCCACCTCCCTCTTCTGGCCTCCTCGGGCACCAGGCAGGCACATGGTACACATATGTACATGTAGGCAAAACACTTGTACACATAAAATATTTTAAAATTGGAAATGTGGATTTCTTTAAAAATTAAATTTCAGCCGGGCGATGGTGGCGCACGCCTTTAATCCCAGCACTTGGGAGGCAGAGGCAGGCGGATTTCTGAGTTCAAGGCCAGCCTGGTCTATAGAGTGAGTTCCAGGACAGCCAGGGCTATACAGAGAAACCCTGTCTCAAAAAAAAAACAAAAAAAAACAAAACAAAAAAAAAAAACAAAAAATTAAATTTCATTATTGGGTCTCTCTGTGGGTGTGTGTGGGTGTGTGTGGGTGTGTGTGGGTGTGTGTGGGTGTGTATAGGCCAGCTGTGATGTGAATGTAGAGCTCAGAGGACAACTTTCAGGAGCCAGTTCTCTCCTCCCACCATGTGCATCCCAGGCTGATGATAAATGCCTTTACCCAATGAACCAACTTTCTAACCCCAGAAGTGTGGACTTTGATCATTAAAATGCTCAGAGTATTGGGTAAAACAAAAACTGAGTTTGTTTCAGATATGTGGAGGGCCCTTAGTCTTCAAGTTATATAATTCTAGAGAATCTGCTGGCCCAGACCACCTCTTCCCAGTCTTGTCCTACTGTGGGTAGCCTCACTCCATGTTCATATCATTTTTTTCCATCCAACCCATTTTATAGATGAGGAAACTTATAAGAGAAGGGTTCACACACAAGAATGAATGTCATCAGCTTGCTTGGAACATGTGTCCAAGGCCCTCTGCACCCCAGTTAATTCACACAATGGCCTGGGCTCTCTTTGTTGTTTTTGTTATTGTTTTGATTATTTGTTTTATTTTCTGGGACAGAGTTTTTCCTGGCTAACAACCCTGTCCTGGACTTGTAGACCAGGCTAGCCTCAAATCCACAGAGATCTGCCTGTCCTTGCCTCCTGAGTGCTGGGGCTAAAGATGTCCAGTAGTGGTCCGCCTGGTTCTAGCCTGAGTTCTTTGTCACCCTTATATTGAGGGGACTGAAAAGAGAAGGATGTAACCCAAGGTCACAGAACTTCAAGCAATGAAACTGCAGTCTACTTAGAAGGCAGTGGTCCCTAGAGCCTGAGCTCTTAACCATGTGCTTTGCTAGAATATTGAGGCCAAAGATAAGGCTGGAAAATTCAGTTCTCCTGACACCTACCCTGGCGCTGTCCTGTTTTCTCCTCCCCCCCACCCCCACCCCCCACATACAACCTGCCAGACTGAGGATGTAGCAAAGCCAGTACAGTGCTTGCCTAGCGTGCACAAGGATCTGTGTTCCGTCCCCAGTGCTATCTAGACAAGGCATGGTGATCCATACTTGTAATCCAAGAATTCAGAGGTGGAGGAGGGCAGAGATCAGGAGTTCAAGATTATCCTCTGACACATATCGAGGCCCATCTGGGCAACATAAGACCCTGTCTAAAACAAAACAACAGAAGTCTGGCACTGAAATAATATTTACTATGGGTCATTTTTTTCTTTGTGTCTCTGTCTGGGATGTGTGAAGGGGTGTGTGTGTGTGTGTGTGTGTGTGTTGGCCAGAAGTTGACATCAGGTGCCTTCTTCTGTCATTCTCTACCTTTGATTTCTTCTTCTATCTTTAGTTTTTGAGAGGAACCAGCTGTGTAGACCAGGCTGCCCTCAAGCTCACAGAGACCCCCTTGGCATGAGTACTGAGATAAAAGACATGAGCCTCCTCACCTGGCCTCACCGCTATACATTTTCAAATTACATTTATCTGTTTGTATGTTGTGTATTCTTGAGAGCCACAGCGCTTGTGTGGTGGACAGAGGAAAACCTGTGGAGCCAGTTCTCTCCACCAGGTGAATTCCAAGGATCAAACTCAGGTTATCAGGCTTGGCAGCAAGTGCCTGTACCCACCCAACCGTTTCGATAGCCTTTATGTTATTTTTTGAGACAGTGTCTCCCACTGAATGAGGAGCTCACCAATGCAACTCAAACAGGGACTGCAGGTCCCAGGGAGTGTCCTGTCTCTCCCTGGTGCTGGGATGACAGGCTCCACTCTTCCACAGGGGCAATAGAGAACCAAACTCATCCTGTGCAGCAAGCACTTTATGAATGAGCCATCTCCCCAGCCCCTGCAGGTCATGGTTTTAGATGTGTGGCACTGACCTCCAGAGTGCTTTTCATCTTGTAAAACTGAAGGACTGGAAGCCATTAAAACAAGTACTGCCTACTGTCCAGCCCCTGCCTTACCCAATTTCACTCTGGTATTTATGGTTTTGACTGTTCTAGATTGAAGCTGTTCTGTTTTCTGTTCTGTTGTGGAAGTAATCCTTGCTTAATGTCAATGAGATGGGGTGGCATGGCCAGCCAAGGCCAAGTCCAGAGGAGGCCGGCCAAGGTCCCCAGGGTGGAGTGGTCAGAGAAAGCTGTCTGGAGGCAGGAGGGAAGACAGTAGGAGCCAGTCCGGTATTCAGAAGGATCTTGAGCTGGAAGCCAGCCTGGGCTATATAGTCGCACAGGGTGGAAGCCAGCCTGGGATATATAGTCACACAGGGTGAGAAGTCAGTGAGGAGATGACTCAGAGATGTGAGGCCTTTGTCACCTGCCCTTTGGTTTATGACAGCCACCTCAGCAACGCTGACCTTTGCCTTCAAGGGATCTCCCATCATAGGAGTGAAGGCACCAGGCCAGCTCACAAAGCTAGTGGCTTACAGACCAGTGCTAGCCTCTAGAACCATGGGGACCAGCCTGCGCAGTCAGTCCTTTCGAGAACCCCGGCCCTGCTATGGGAGGCTCCATGAGTCCCAGGGGAGATCTCTGGAGGGCCGACTCCATCGGGCACTGAGCCTCAGACAGGGCCATGAAAAGTCTAGGTCGCAGGGCTTCGATGGCACGGAAGGGCTGGAGGTCTCTGTCCAGAAGCGGCTGCCAGGGACCCTGGGAGACACAGAGCAGCTGATCCAAACCCAGAGAGGAGGCAGCCGGCGGTGGCTGAGACAATACCAACAGGTGCGGCTTCAAATTGAATTATCAGTTTCATGGGGAAGGGTGGGGACTCAGGACAGCACCTTAGGAAAGCCAAGCAAAATACCCAGGAATTGAATGCATTTGACTAAAAGCAGTTGTAATCCCCCCCCACATGTCCCCTGTGGGCAACTGGGGATTCACTGAAGGTTGGAAGAGGGTGGGCGAATGGGGCCTGAGTGGAATATGGTCAGAGCTGTTTCTGTTTTGAGATGAGGTCTCACTAAGTAGCCCAGAGTGGCCTGGAACTCTTGATCCCACTCTGTGTTCTGAGTGCTCCGAGTACAGGCATACATCACCACAGAAGCCTTTCAGAGCTGTATTAAGATGATTACTGTAATACTATGTTGCAAGGGTGACTAGAGCAGGAGGCAGGCAGATTGGCCAGTGCAACTTCTGGCAAGTTACTGTCTGTACCTCTCACCAGGGATGAAGAGAAGATTCTCCCACCCGTCCTGGCCCTGCCTCCGAGGGGGAAGGGTCTCCCCTCCCCCAGGAGCTTAGCTTGTCTTTCATGGCTCTACCCCCACCTGGTGGCTAGGAGTGGAACACCACTTGAAGCCACTACTCTGATGTTTCCCCTACTTCGGTCTTCCAGCAGGTGAAAAGAAGGTGGAGGAGCTTCGTCGCCAGCTTCCCCAGTGTGACCCTGAGTCAGCCAGCCTCCCCAGATACCTTGTTGGACACCAACAGCTAGAGCTGCTGTGACTGTCCCTCACTCCACTGGCTACATTCCTGCCTCTACATGGCTTTTCTGGACTCTGAACTGCTCCAGCCTTTGAACTTTGTCTTGTGACCCAAGGAGGCCTCTGTCATCACATCATTCAAGGCCCCATGTGGTTGCCGTTCTTGGTTCTGGCACCTATCTCTTAGCAAAGACCTCCATAGGCCTGAGGAGAAGGTTCTCTGCCTGTTGGGTTTAAAGACCCCCTGGACTGACATGTAGGTCTTGGGGACCTACACAGAAATGAGAGTAGCAACTTTGATCCCTTGTCCCCACACAGACCAGCCACCTACTTCCAGATCAGAGTTCAGTGAAGCCAAAGAAAGGCTGAGAACTTCATGAATATCACCTGATCACAGCGCAAAGCTCCACCTAGCTTTCAGGGCAGTTGCTAGTGACTGGCCAAGACTTGAGCCTCCCTCATAGAATGTGAGCCTTCAAAGGCTAGGACCATGTCTGGAGTGTCCTCAGTGTGGGTGCCGTGTGCCCAAGAAGCCTGAACATGCATAATGCTGCCTTTGGACTTAACGATATCCTGATGAAGGAAGCAGGGAAGTCTTCCTTCCCTGTGTGACAGAGGGAAACTGAGACCAGGAGTAGAGAAGAGGCCTTCATCCTACACACATACACATACACACTTGTGTAAGAGCACAATGCCTAACACTGGGGTTGAACACATTAATAAAGCCACTGAGCTGAAGGAAACTATTTGCCTAGTAACTAATACACAAGCTCTGAGCCTCTCCCAATGCCTGTAAGAGAGGCCAGAGTCCATGGTCTCACTCTGAAGGGTAATACAGTGATGGGCTCCTTGTTTTCTCAGAGTTCAGAAACCTGGTAGGACCACTAAGGTACAAAAGAGGTCCTGGACAGTATCTGTCCCTGGCGCCCATTGGGAACTTTGCCTGGAAGCTGGACTGAGGGAATAGAGCAGAGACTTTAAAAATTACATTTTTATTTGTGTGATCACACACTTGGGTGTGTGTGCGCACATTTTTGCATGTGCATGACACAGTGCACATGTGAAGGTCAGGGGACAACTTCTATAGTTGGTTCACTTTTTTCACTGTGTGTCCTGTGGGTGGATCTCAGGTTACTAAGGACACACAGCAAGTGATTGCCCCACTGAACAATCTTGCCAGCTCTATCTGTTTATTTTGAGGTAAGGTCTCTTGTAGCCAAGGCTAGCCTCAAACTCACCATAAAGCCAATGCTGGCCTTGCACTCCTGACCCCAACCTCTAACTGGCAGATGCTGAGGTTATAGGGTATGTCAGTACACCTGACCCTTGACCTTTTGGCATGGCCTCCAGAGCTGTGAGTCAGCTTCTCAAGTTTCTGATTTGGGGTCACTTGAGGCAGAGGCCATGGGAATCTCAAGTGTTTGGGGGATTTTAGCTGGAGCAGAGACCACTGCCACTTAGTAGGACTGTGACATTGTCAGTGTGAGTCACTGACTAGGGAATAGGGGTTGCACCCATAGCCTGTGCTGACCAAAGTTCATAGGACAAGGCTGCCTGTCCTTGCACTTGCTGTGAATGTCCCTTTCAGATGGTGCTGGCTGCATTGTTCAGGAAGTATGTATGCACATGGATTAGCATGGACAAAGGCTAGATTTCAGACAGGCTACAGACTGACTCAGACGCACAAACTGCTCCAAAGGCCTCAACCGCAACGCCCTGGCTCAAAGGTCTCAGACCGCAACGCCCTGGCTCGGGCACTGCATGCATTTGCTGCAAATGACTTTTTTTCCCTGCTCCCCACTGCCTTCCACGTCCCTGTTGCATACTGCGCCCATCTTTTCATTTCCGTTGGTTTTATAGGCCACTGAGAAGGAGTGCTCCGAGCCAGGCTCTGTAACAGCTGCCTAGCTCCTCCTGCACTTGGAGCCTCAGTTTCTCCATCCATCAAAGGAGACGACCACCTTACCTTTCCAGATTTGGCAGGACAGAGGCAAGGCCTCCTGAGTCAGGCCAGAACCATAGTCAGGCTGAGCTCAAATCTGACCAGAAAGAGCTAGGGGTTATGTAGCTTTCAGTTCAGGGTGGGAGTACCTCCTAGCCAATTAGCTAGCTGCCTCATGGAGGATATACATTCCCTACCTTCTAGACCTCTGTGTCAGTGTAGGCACATATAAAGGTTGTGGTACCCTAGCATGGGACAGCATAACCTGAACAGAGGCACGTGTCAGGACTTGCCACTCAGTTGCCCTCAGACAGCATCCGTCCAGCTGTCTTGATCTACATCCTCCTTTCATCCCCCCCCACCTCCATATTTGCTCTACTTCCTCTGGCCTCTGGGCAGAGTCTGTCTGTCTTAGTCCAGGGGTCTTGGGTCAGCAGCTAGCAGGCCCGGGACTCACTGCACGCCAGTCTGCCCTATTCAGCCCCCGATCCTCCAGCAGCCTCCTTTTCCACCTGCTCAGTGCTGAAGCATATTCCTTATCCAGCGTGACTCCATCAGTGTTCCTTCTGCCCTCAAGTGGTTCAGACTGTGTCTGTAAGGCACAGACAGCGCCTGATGCTCTGTTACAAAACGGAACCGATGTTCACTAGTGCAGCCTGGCGCGAGGGACTCCTCAGGAGGCCTGGTTTCCTGCACCAGGGCTGGGCTCTGGGCCTAAATGGGCATTTCCTTCAGCTTCCTGAAAGGAAGAAGGCTGGGAGCAGGTTGGGGGAAGAAATCCTGCTGGGGAAGTGGGGCCTCATGGCTGGGCTAATAGGGAAGCAGTGAGGCCCACAGAAAACACTGTGTCCCCAGCATCTCTCTGAGGCCATTTATCTTACAGATGAGGAGAACAGGGCTACTGTGGGCCAGAGACAAACTGGAACTGACAGCCAGAGCAGCTGCCTCCCAGGTCAGGGCTTATGCTGGATGTTCAAAACCCCATTCTGAGGGAGACTCTGGGAGTATGGACAGCCAGTCGGAGGAGCTGAGGAAGCCAGGGCCTGCCTCTCTCTCTCTCTCCCCATCTCTCTCTCCCTCTCCCTCTCCCCTTCTCAGTTGTGTGCATGTTGTATGTGTGTGAACACATACCATAGTACACATGTAGATGTCAGTAGACAACTTTGTGCAATAAGTTTTCCCCTTCCATTTTTACTTGGGCTCCTGGGATCAAATTCCAGTCACCAAACTTGCATGTACAGTGTACACCTCTACACACTGAACCATCTTATTGGCCCCCTCAGCTGTCTCTTCTGTAAAACGGGCATGTTGATCTTTTAGGGTGCTATATTCCACGAGAAAACCCTCACACATTTGCCTTTATCAAGCTAGAAAACAACGTGTGTAAAATGTCCAAGGTCTGGGGAGATAGATCAGACAGTTAAAGACTTGCTACCCAAGCGTGAGGACCCAAGTTCAATCCCAAGCACCCAAAGAAAAATCCAGGTGCAATCACATATGCTTGTAATCCAAGAAATGGGCGGGGGGTCCCCCGAGAGCTCATTGGCCAATTAGCCTAATGAATGAGCCATGGTAAGAAACCTTGTAAACCCTGTGTCATCTGAGTATGCTGGTGCACACCTTTAATCCCAGCACTTGGGAGGTGGAGGCTGGCAGGTATCTCTGAGTTTGAGACCAACCTGGTCTACACAGCTACATAGTAAAATTCTGTTGAAGAAAGAAAAAAGAGGAGAAGGAGAAAGAAGAGGAAGATGAGAAGGAGGGAAGGGGGAGGGGAGAAGGAGGAAAGAAGAAGAGGAAGAAAAGAAAAGCCCTGTGTCAGGAAAACAAGGCAAATGGCACATAAGGGAGAATGCTTGAGGCTGATCCCTGACAGATGAATGTGTACACACACACACACACACACCAGACCACACCAGACCAGACAGAAAGTGGATTCTGTTCTCATTCTTTGCTAGCTGAGTGATATCAAGCAAGTCATTCAACCTCTCTGTGCCCTGATTTCCTTATCTGTTAAATAAAAATAAGAGCTATCTCTTCTCACAGGACTGTTGGATTCCGAGTTAATACATGTAAAACATGCGAGCAGCTAATGAGCCCAGGTTTCTTAGTCATTAATTCTAGTGAGGTCTCCACAAGCAACTAAGGGCAAGAACACTTCCTGACTCAGCACTTACCTCTGGGAAATGAGTGTTATAACAGACCCTGGCTGGGGTCACCTGGGGATGCAATGGGCCAGGGCACATGTTGTCCCCCACAGGGCCAGTCCTTGGAAGCGGCTGCCCTAGGCAAGCCTTGAGGAAGTCTGGCACTCAAAGCCTGGCATGTCCTCAATTCACCTTGGCTGTGCCTGGCCTTGGCAGGACGACGGGCGCCAGGGAGAAGCTTTCAAGATCCGGGAGAGTGGGCCCAGCAGGCCACAGACCAGATGGCAGTGCTGGACCTCCCAGGAGTCTGCCCTTAGTGCGTGTGCGGGAATGGTTATGACAGGAAGGGAGACACTGGCTCCTCTCTGCACCCTCCCCACTGTGCCTGCTGCTGACCATCCCTGCCCCACCACAGCTCCAAGACAAGCAGTCAACCCACACCTACACTTACAAGGCTCACCCAGACAGTGAGGGTCTCAGGATGACAGGCAGTTCTCCCCTTAACACCCACTGAGGTCAACTCCCTGAGGATGAAACAAGCCAGCTGAGGGTGCAGAGGTTCCCAGAGAAGGAAAGCAAGAGATGTCTCCCCTGAGAGGCAAAGGGGAGCTACAGCAGGCTGTTCTGGAGTGGCAGCTTAGAAAGATTGCTTGGGGCTGCCCAGCGTTGAGAATGATGGATGGAAAACCCCTTAGGAGAAATGAAACTGCTTATATTTCTGTCTTCCAGGTTAGGGTCTCCAGTTGCTAAAGATGTAGCTCAGAGGGCTGTTTCCCCCCTATACACAATAACTAAATAAATAATTTTAAAAACCTAGCTGGTGAGAAGGCTTATGAACACTTGATGATCTTACAGAGAACTAGACTTTGGTTCCCACCAACCACAAAGCAACTCACAACTGCCCGTATCTCTAGTCCCAGAGAATCCTGTGGCACGCACACACACACACACACACACACACACACACACACACACACACACACACATGTATGCACACTAGCATGCATATAAAATAAATCCAAAATAATAATAATGTAATCAGTGAATATTTATTACACTAAATCATGGTTTTACTGTCAAGGGGGCTGGGAAAGAACATTCCAGTGTATGTTGGGGAGGGGACATGAGGACACTGAGTCATTGCCTTGCACAGTGTGAAATCAACAGGTAATGGGACATCCATGTCTGAAAAGCCAGACCCTACAAGGGCCCTGTGTTGTCAGAGGACCTGCATAGGGCAGGGTGGGGTGAGGCAAAGACTCTCTCAGAAACCCTAGATCACTTGATTTTTCACAAGTATATATACTGAGTTTTATTTCTTTGTTAGCTTTTCCAAGCACAGTCTCACTGTTGCCCTGACTAGCCTGGAACTCAGAGATGCCTCTGCTTCCTAAGTGCTGAGATTAATGGTGTGAGCCACCATACTTGGCCTAAATAAAGTAAATTTTAGAAAATGTATCTTTTGGGCCTGAAAGCAAATGTCTGTAATCTCAGTGCTTGGGAAGTGGAGGCAGGAAAGCCAGGTGTTTAATCTGTATAGTCAGTTGGAGGCTAGCCCTGATTACAAGAGCCGATGTCCCAAAAAGAACTAGACCAAACTAACAAATGTATCAGGGTCACAGGTGTGACTCAGTGGTAGAGCAGCTAGC